TAATTTAATAAGGGATTTAATGTTGGGATTTAACTAAAATTTAAATTAAAAAAATTATTGCCTTCAATTGTTGCTCTTTTATATTATATATATATATATTTTTTTTCCATGTGTTGCACAGGTTATACTTTTTTTTTTTTTTTTTGTAAAAATGAAAAAAAAAAATTGTTTCTTTGGATGCTTGAATAATAAGATGTACTGCAATATTTATTCTTCTTTTTTCTAGTTTAGTCGATTAAAATGTAACCTTTTTTTTACTAACCGATTAAGATGTACTTGATATAGATGGTACGTGCCTCTAAAATATAAATAATGATATTCAAGATTAATTTTTAAAATTAAAATTTTAAATAAATTTATGATAATCATTAATAATAATATAGATCACATAGAGAATCATATAATTTCAAGTTAAAATAATTTTATCTCAACTTTTATCTTAAATTTTAATCTAAAAAATTATTACTTTTAAAATATAGTAGTATTCACTTTAAAAAATCCAAATTGATGCTGATTATTTAACGGTGTTGGTTTAATAACAAAACAATGGTGATAGATATTTGTTGTTTGAGAACAGTTAAATTGGGATGATTTGGAATTTCAGATACACTCGAAATATTGATGAGCAATGGAAGAGGCATAATTGTAAATGAATTGCAAAAGAAATCACTTCATTCTTCCTCAAATCCTTAAAAAGCCTAGAGATAATAAATGACTGAACTTGGTCTGAGAGAGATGAGAGAGAGAGGTAGGCAAAGAGAAAGAGGTGGCAATCGTCGGACATGGGGAAGAAGGACAACACAAGGTAAAGAGCACGCAAGATCTTGAGGAAGAAGCCAACATAGGGGGACTGAGTCAGTGGAACAGAGGAATATGCAGTTTGAGTAGAGTCAGTTTTGGAAAAGAAGGATTGGGCGATCATACAATTGGGGCTTGTATAAACAAGCTACTCCTTACTCCTTACTTCTTTACAAACTTTCCAGATGATTGGACTTATGCAAACATGTGGAAAACCTTCTTGAAATTTTGAAGAGTTTATGCCATATACAATCCAAATAGGAAAAGTAGAAATGGAGGCAACTTTGGATTTGTGAGATTCCTAAATGTGAAGGACAAAAAGGAACTTGAAAGGTAACTGGATAAGATCTGGGTAAGGGATCGTAAACTATGGGTGAATGCTCCAAGGTATGATGATGACTAGAAGGATGATAAAGGGCAAAGAACCAACCAAGCTATGAAGCCAAGATTGCAAAATAGAAGTTATGCTAAAGTAGTGAGGGGTACACAAGAGGAAAGACACAAAGTGGAGGAGAAAATACAACCTAGGGAGAATTAGTTTAAGAGGCAAGAAGAGAGTAGAAGCAGAGCCAAGCGAGGATAACAAATTACTAATAATGGAAAAATATGGCAGCATAAAGGAAAAGGGAAAAACCTGGGCTAGTTTTGAATATAATATCAAGCCAAAAGAATGTGCATGGCTTGATGGTTGCTACGTGCGTATGACCCACTCGGTCGAAATGGTCCGTAATCTACAAAAAAATTCTACATGGAGGGTTACTTCTCATGCCGAATTCGTGCTATGGGAGGAAAGATGGTGTTGCTAGATTGTGAAGACAAAGAGGAACTAAAAGATTTGGTTGAGATGGCCTCAGAGTGGTTAGGACAATGGTTTGAATGGGTACGACCTTGGACACCAGATATGGTCACCGAAGAAAGGTTTGTGTGGATTAGATGCCAAGGGGCTCCATTAAATGCCTAGGGATCAGACTTCTTTGCAAACATGGGTTGTTCTTGGGGAAAATTTATTTGCTTGGATGATAGTACAAGCAAAAGAAGGAGGTTCAACATTACTAGATTCTTGATTTCGACTCCGATTATGAACACCATTTCTGTTATGCGCCAAGTTAAAATCAATGGATCCTTGTACAATATAAAGTTCACGGAGGAGGAATTTACTAATAGTTTCTTCTCTTTGAAGCAAGATTTCATGCCAACATTTCAAAGTGATTATGAGGAACATGAATCATGGTTGATGGATAGTGAAAAAGAGGACTTGACATTGAAGAGGCAATAGAAGCAGAGTAGGATAAGGAAGATCATGTTGAGGTAGAGGAAGAAGATGATCGTGTGGCAAGCAATAGGAATGAGAAATATGGAAAGCTTTGGATACAAGCTTCAAAAGACATGGAGAAGTCCGTTGAAATAGTGCCTAACAATCTAATACAGATTCAAAGTGTGATTGATGGAGTGAACGGTGCAGAAGCTGGGCAAGATGACTGACAGATATAGAAAAGGGGAACGACAGCGGATTTAGGTGAGGTGAATGGGAGTCTAATTGGCCCAAAAAGAAGAGTCAGATGAAGCAATATGGCGAGCCTAGCTCACAAAATTGCAATCCAAGTTATGACGAATC